AATCAGCAATTGATGATCGATCTCGGCAATTGAAAGATGCTGCCTTTAACCTGAATTTGCTTGGAGAAATTTCAGATCTTATTCAAGAAATAAATTCAAAATCAACCGAGGTTGATAGACTTGTCAATGTTAAATCACGACAAGCTATCAATTCATCTGCCAAGAAGCTTCTTGTAAGTTGATTTATTAATATAAATTGTCTTTGACATATTTACTCATTGTATTTTTATTCTTTACTAAGGAAGTTGAAAGGTATCTGATTAATATTGAACCCAAAGTGGACGATATCAATTCTCGAGTGAATAAAGACCTATCTCTAACCAGTTTTCAACCAAATTTGGCCAAGCCTTTAAATACTAGCCGTGATGAGTTGAGTGGTGCAATCAAAGATTTGAGTGACAAAATCAACTCAGCAAAGTACGTTTTAATTTTTTTTCCTACTGCAAGAAGTTTTTTTAATGTTGTGTTCTTCAAGTGAGCTATTTTAACTTTCAGGAGAAGTCTTGTCTTTCAGCGACGAATCTTTGACTTTGACGAGAAAACTGAGGATCAACAGCACGATATTACCACCGCTCTTGCTTTTGTCAGTGCAGTTGACATTGGAGACGATCATGAGCAAATTGAAGTAAGAATCTTTTGTCAGTGAATACTCAACGCTCTAATAACTTGTCATCTGCAATGATGGTATTATTTCATATTCATTTCTAGAAATTAAAGAACCGTTGGCAAGTATTTCTAACAGATCTTCCCCAGTTGGTAAATCGCGTGGATGCTAGTCTTGTTGAAGGCCAAGATTTATCAAATGACCTGGAGATTTTGACGAATTGCAGACCATCAGACTTACAGCCCACGAGGTCTAAGGAAGAAATTTTCGGGCTGACAATTAAAGAGATGGCAACACAACCTCAGTCTACGTATCCATTTTGCAATGACGAATCTGTCAAGACTGGTTTAGATCAGGTACGAGCTCAAATCGAATGTCTGGCGCGAGATAAAGGACTACTGCAAGAGCAAGTCCGTCTTGTTCAGGGAAGAATTGATCACACAGCTGATATTTCGCGGTAAGATCAATCTATTGTCTTCAACGCTCCTATGTTCATATATAACCTAATTTCTTAATTAAAGCCGTAAAATGTGTTTACCATACGTACTGAACTTAGAAAATTTTGGCAATATGGTGCACCTTCGCATAGGTTATGCTTCACCTCCAGTGGGGATTCCTTGGTGTGTCTACTGAGGCGATCTTTGAGGCCACATGTGCTGGGTGTTTCATCAAGTTATTTATTTAAATCACTGCACGTTTTTATTAATGAACTAGGCTACTTAATGATTTATATCAGATGGCAGGCTTTATGATAGCTATCATTAGCCCTTTAGCTGATTTCGGGCTTCACAGAGGGGCGAGGGTGAACATCAAATTTATAGAAAATCGATAGGAGAGGGAGAGAGAGAGGAATGATTCGTAGATGTAATAGAGGCAGACACATAGGTAAGGAAATAGGTAAGGTGAGGTGATTTCTGTGGAAGTAGCCGAATATGGCGTAGAGTCGGGTCAAGGTAGTCTGAGGTTTGGAGCCAACTTCTGGATTATGGACTTTTTACCGTACGAATATACGTTACCCAGGGTACACCACATGGAGGTGAGTCGTTCGCGCAACCCCCGTTGCCTAATAATAATGGCTTGAAATCTGTTGGCTATTACCAACGCAACTTATACTTCCAAGTTTATATATATATATATATCAAATGGCAGGCGTTTTGATGGTTATCATTAGCCCTTTAGATGACTTCGGGCTTCACAGAGGGGAAGGAACATCAAAGTGAAAGAAAGTCGAAAGGGGATGGGGAGGGAACAGAAGAGGGTTTCAAAGACGAAGGTAGAAAAGTAGAAAAGAGGTGAGGTGAGTACTGTGAAAGTAGTCGAATATGACATACAGTGAGGTGATGGTAGTTTGAGGTGAGAAGTCAACTGCCAGTTAATAGACTTTTTCGCCGTATGTGTATACGTTGCCCAGGGTGCACCACGTGGAGGTAAGTCTATTGCACACCCCAAATTAATAATAATAATAATATTATTATTATTATTGAAATTATTATTATTATGTTGAAGGAGAAGAGTACACGAGTGGAAGAGTACCTCTAGATTTCTTCATAGTCTCTCTCTGCCACCCCCTTCTTGGTCTAAAAGTCCTCTTTGAATTTCCGCCTACGTTAAAAGCACTGCCATTGTCCTCCCTTTTAATTGAGACAACAGACGAAGAGGCGGTAGCAGTATTTGTAGCAGAATTCGATGAGGTACATTCAGAATTAGGAGGATGGTCGGAGCTTTTTGGCTCCACTTTCGGTTTATTATTTTCTGCTTCAGGCTTTGTAGACACGGGCATTCGGTTATTCTTTCGAATTTATTATGTGTCTTGTTAAAGTTTCTAGGTTTAAAGTATCTCCTCCTTCTAGTTTTAGCACTCTTGGGAAGGTTCCGTTGCCTCTTGGCCTGGGCACCTTCGTGGCTCACTGAGGTGCTGCTGTTTTGAGCTAAGGCATAATCAAGGACTAATGAAACGATTGCTGGCACTGACCAAGATATATCTATGGCTATTCATTACGTCTGACGCACGATCGAGGTGTTCCTGTTTATGTGGCCCAAGAATCAAAAAGTTTGTAGTTACATTACGATGTTAAATGAACTAGTATTTTTTTAAAATTTACGATTTTACGAGCTCCTTTTTCAACTGAGCAGTCTATGATTTTCGCACTTTCTCAATATGATCATATCTCCCTCCCCCATTCTTTAGTTCCAGACTGCACTCATAGTCGTTAACCAAGAAGCTTTCTAAGGCAATTAATAGTCTAGAGAAGTAGATTAGGGATAAAAACAAAAAAATCAAGAATGCGGAGCATTATAATCAAGCGCTTAACGACAAAAGACTGTGAGTAGATGATACCAGTTACAAGGGTAAAAAATCTTTTATATTGTCAATTATATACAGATGGAAAATGATTAGTTAACTTCGAGAATGAGATCTTTACCCATCAAGGTTGAGTGTATTTGATGGAGAAGTAATTGAATGAATCTGCCTTGAGAGGCGTCGGTTTTCCATCTATTTGAGTCGTGATAGAAGCCTTTGTGAATAAAAAATTATTCAAGGGATAGACCATTTTATAGTCATTGCCAAGAATTAAGTTAAGTATACTTTGAAATTATCTAACCCTGAGTATATTTGAGAGAACAAAATGATATATGGAAGTTCCTGGCATGTCGGAGGACAAAGTTGTAAATCTTCTCACTCAAGCGGTATCTCAGGATCAACTACTCTGAGTAGTTTTCGCAGTCGTTTATTTGAGATTATTTTTAAAGGTGATTTGAGGACTTTCACACTCTATATCACTTTTCTTATTTTACCTTGCAAATGCCTTAAAGATTGTGCGCACACCTCCAGTCTACCCTTTTTGCACTATTATCTGTGATCACACTATGAACAAAACGTAAATATTATTTCTATTTCGATAAGCAAAGTTTACTGCGCTTTTAGTACTCCCGTTTTTGCTACTTCAAAATCGCCCAACCTGCCAATAAGAGGGGGAGACAGGTAAAAGTGAAATGCCTTAGCTTCTATGTTTGTTGCCTGCGTAAAAATAGACCTTCGACAAATATCTGATTTATTATTTTCTAACCATTAATACAGTGCCAATATTGAATTACATTGGAGTGGGTATTTTGAGATTTTATGTAAAGATCTTGTTTTCTATCACGCAAATATTCTACGACTTTTAGGTAGCAGTTACTTTGGCGAACATTTCGGCCTTTTCTGTAATTAATAACGCTGATGAGTCACGTTATCACTGCAGCAAATGCTTGTGTAACCATGTTAACAAAAC